CGGACACACGGACACAGTGACACAGTGACACAGTGACACATACACACACTTGCACCCACAGATACATGCACTGGCACATACATATACTCATATACACACACTGACACTCAGATATATACACACACCCACGCACTGGCACATACGCACACACACACTCACTCAGATGTGCCCCGGAAGTTTAGTGGAGCTGTGTGCGAGCGTATAGTCGCAGTTTGTAGCTGGCATCGGTGAACGCTGTGCGTGGCCTGCAGGTTTGATCGCCCGGTGTCCTGGCTGTAGCTAGGTATGGCAAATCACGCGGGGGAAAAAAACCTCTCCTGGCGAAACCAGACGTGACCAATCGACGTCTGCCCGGTGTGGAGGTAAGTTTGTTTATATAGGGCAGATCTTCCCCTCCCACAACTCCAGGCTCCGCCTCCCACACCTGATAATCTGTATCTTGTCATTACCATATCTCATTGATGACTGATTTACTCAATAGGATCACCCAGCAAGCACGGAGACGTTGGCTATGACAGGTGGCATTTTGCGCAGTGAATTTTCTTACTCTTTGTTATTTTACTGGGTTAAACGTTTGTAATTGTTTTGCCAGTGGTAAAAGACTCGTGCTGTAGGTAGATATAAATATTAATCAGAATGTGGTACCTTCAAAAACGTACAATAATTATGATTTTATTCATGAACAACCTATAGTGTTTGTTAGTCTAAATAGTACCGTGAGCCTGCAGGTGGGTAACTGTGCCGGCTTCCAGCCAAGAGTATATACATTCTTCGTCTTGTGTTACTTCACACCTCCTGCTAATTTCCACCCATTTCATATTTCGTGGGCTTGCTCTGTGCAAATGAGAGGACAGATTAACCATATAATCTTATACCTTCCCTGCTGCCATTGTCATGATCCGTGTCCTGGAACTCTGCAGATCTGACATCAAGATATTGGTTTCACACATAGCACTCAATAATATGTAGCCATAGTTTCCCTTAATGCATTATTCTTAATTATTTGTTACAATATACAATGTGATGCAGTCATCTGTTAATAGGAATATTTCCCCCTCCACTCCAATATTTATTTAGGAAACTGAAACAAGTCGTCAGAGTCGAGAAATTGAAAAACTTAAAGAGGAAGTCAATTCTTACGCCATCAAAGTGAAGTGGGCTCACAACAAACTCAAAACTGAGCTGGATACACACAAGGTAAGTGGTATTAGTGTCTATGGTCCGACCATAGATTCTAAATCTCCAGAAAGATGAACTAACAAATACCTAACCATATATTTATACCTGGGTCCAAATAAGACGGGTGTGTGTGTGTTCTTTCAATGTATTAAAAATAAATGAAGATTTTATATTGCGTCATTTGCAGATTGCATCCCCAACAACGTTAATGCACATCACACGTAATCTGTCCAATAAATAGAAAGCAGGGGATTGTGGGGGCTGGTAACATACTAACCATACAATTTGCTGAAACGGTTAGAGAATACGAGTTTTTAATACATGCAGAGAAAATGGTAAATGTTATCTCAAAAGGTGTTATTTTTAACATTCACATATTCATTGCTTCCTCTTCTGTGTACTAAAACAGGGATCCACCTGTTTAAAAATAATTTATAATTATTTAAAGAGCCTGAAATATGCGCTTGCATTTTTATTGTATTCTAGCAAACTGTGATTTTTTTCAGTAAGATTTCATTGTGTCTGACAGCAGGTTGGGGGTTTTGTTGAACGGTATTGCTGCTGTGAACGACCATTCAAACATCACATTTCTCCTATAAAAAGTAATTTCATAGATATTACTTGATACGAATTCAAGGTTTATATTTACAGTTAAAGTAATCATTATTTTGAGCTATTAAATGGACACTAGGCACCAAAACCACTGCATCTTAATGGACTGATCCCTGCAGTGTGACAAAGTTAAACATTGTTGTTTGTAAGAAAGTCAGGACGTCGCAAGTGGCTTACCAGTGGGATGCTTTTTAATTTTACCAGTGGTGATGAGAAGACATGTACTCTAAATCAGGGGTAGTTAACCTGGTCCCTACTGCCCACAAGTGGGCAGTTTAGGATTTCAGATGTGTGGTGGTGGGTTCTGCAGAAAATGCCC